GACAGACAAGAAGAAACAGTTTGTAAGACTGCTTTTTGTCACCATAGACTGTGACTGGTCCAGGGTAGGATGGATTATGGGTTGAAAGTGTCACTTTAAAGATACATAGTGAATTTTTAGCAGGCAGTAAAGAAATATACATAAATAACAACTCATAACCAAACAGAATAATTTAGAAAAAAAAAAGATAGATAGATAATAGAATAGGTAAATAAAATGATTTCCAGATTTTAAGGAAACACTGAGGAATGGCTTCAAAAAAGGCCATAATAAGTTTTGAGGTTATCTTAGCTGTGACTATAGCATAAAGTGCTTTACAAACATGATTCCAGAAAACCAAAACATATGTATGCTTCTTTGGATTTAAACCAATCACACGGGTTGATTTGAGGACAGATTTTAAGTCCATAATGCCTCATTAAGTGTAATTTGAAGGTCTAACCCCCAGGAGTGTTGAATAACAGCAGAGGATAGGGGATTTGTAGGAGGAATTTAAATCAGATTCAAATAAAGTAACTTGTTTCTACTTGGGTCAAATAACTTTATCTTGTCTGATAATGTTGCAGGCCAACAATATATTATGATATATGGCTGATTGAATAAAGTGCATCATCTCTAGATGTTGAAATGGGGGGAGCTTGCAGGCCATAGTTCTGTCCTCAATCAAATATCTTTAAAACAGATTAAACCCATTGGTTTGCTGAACAATTCACAAAGCATCAAGTAAAGGAGTTCTGTTATTGAATAAAATTGTACTTAATGGATTCAATTGTAAATTATTTCATTAATGATTGTAAAATACTTAATAATAGGGTAAGGATGCACCCATCCAAGCAGATAACCAAATGGGACCCGCATCTTTTGATTTATAATACCACCAATAAGACTGGTAGCACAAATGACATGCCTGGCTGTAGAAATGAAAATTGGATAATGTCAGCTCACCATCTGGTTTAGACTTCTGTAAATATTTCTCAGCCTTTTGCCGCTCTAAACATAGGCTGAGATTACAGAGTATAACTTCTTAAAATGGACTATCGAGTACAAAATGAGGAGAACTTGAAATAGGTAAATGAATAAAGGAAAGAAGGAAAGAAGAACTGAGCACTTAGTTGAGTCACAATGAAACTGAATCAATAATTTACTGAAGTGTATCCCATAAAGGGCTTTGTTAATCTTTGTTACAACAACACTGAAATAGACTTAAGTGATATTTTGTACGGTGGCCGGGAGGTGCAAACCAACATTACAAAATCTAAAACACTACAAATGATCATTTCAGAAAACAAATTTACATTTAAAAAACACTTTTACATTTCCAAAACAAATTTACATTTTATAAAACACTTTTACAAGTTCCAAAACAAATGATCATTTCAGGAAACAAATTTACATTTAAAAAACACTTTTACAATTTCCAAAATAAAGTATCATTTCAGGAAAAGTGTTTTAGATTTTGTAATGTTGGTTTGCACCTCCTGGCCACCGTGATTTTGTAATCATAAAGGCAGCATTAATCGTGGTAAGCTTTTAAAATTCAACCGCATCAGCTCAATTTTGCTCAAATATAATAATTAACAATAGATTACCCTTTAAGTTTGCTGCTGAACCCATCCCCAACCAACCATGATAATCTATAATTTGTAGTAATTACACAATAAATGATGTATCTATTAAATAAATACATATATTTCAGTCCTTTTGAAGTGTTCCCTCTGAAAGTCGACACACACTCCTTGACCCATCATGCAAATGTAAACAGTCTAATCTAACTTTATTTATAAAGCACTATGAAATTTCCCCAGGACCAAAGTGCTGTACAGTGAATAACTGTACCAATACAGAGACGCAGGGGACTTGCATAGAAAACAACAACAATAAAAGCATAAAATGCATAACAAAATTAAAATAAAAACTGCAAATATCTGTGATTTAAAAAACAAATAACTTAACATCACAGGCTGTATCACGTGGTGCTAAAAGCAAAGGCAGAGATGATTTTGAAGCAGATGTTTTTAAATTAGACAGGCAGGCATTAATACTCAATAGAAGGTCGCTCAACATTTTCAGAATTTTTCAGTAATTAAATTGTGTAGGTTTTAAAAAAAAATTAAAAAGGTAACTTTATTTTAAAAATGTACCATATTTAGCAGGGAATAAGATAAACATGATCTAATTTGGTGATTGGGTACCTCAGCACATGCTTGTAATTTTTGGTTAATTGAAAACATCTTAATTGAGGATCAGGACTAGTTTTAATTGATTACTTATTTATTAAACCTAAGTTTCAGTGTCTTTGCTAAATAAAACATAAACATTTTTTGTAATGGCCTCGGTTTCCTCATGCCAATCTAAGATTGTCATTTTCTAGTCATGCTTTGCAAAACTCTCTGCATGGAGATATGTTTATGAGCATGGTAGGCTTTAATGGTACGTTCCCTTATATTTCCCATTCTGAACATATGATATTTGTGATCAGTCAAAAAAAATTAGGATGTAAAAGATTATATTTTCTTCTTTTCCTGCACTGAATAGTATTGCTTTAATTAGAGGTTTGATTTTTTTATTATTGTGCTATAACTAACTTTCTTTCAATTCAGGGCCCTCTGGTACGATGGCTGAAGGTGAATTTCAGTGAGGCTTTTATCGCGTGGATTCACATTAAGGCTCTGCGTGTGTTTGTTGAGTCAGTATTGAGGTGAGAGCTGCTTAACATGTTGCATCAGGGATAGAAGTTTCTAGTTTCTGAAATTACATTTAGAATGTAAAAAAAATATGAGATAAAAACATGAAAATTCCAATTATGAGTTTTTATTTTAAATTCTTATTTCTACAAGTTAAAATTCAGTCTTCAACACTTTAATTTTCTGTACCAATAAGCATATTTTTTGTAGAGCAGCTGTTCCTTCTGTTTGTTTAATTAACTGTCCATCATTCTACAAGGTATTTTCAGATTAAATATAAAAGGCCTCACTTCTACCGGAATATCTCTATTTATTTTTGTTTCATAGTCAGGTGTGCAAAAAAGAACCATGATATTTTGAAATGAAACTAGGGGAAAACATTACATTTGAAATAAAAAGTCCACGGTGATTTGGTGAGCTGCTTGTTTTTCTAGATATGGGCTGCCTGTTAACTTCCAGGCCATGCTGATTCAGCCCAACAAGAAGAACATGAAGAAACTGAGAGAGGTGCTGTATGACTTGTACAAACACCTTGACAGCAGTGCTGCGGTCATTGACGTAAGTTTCAGCAATTATTTATCTGATGAAAGGGTTGAGATCATTATTATATGAGCAGCGATGCTCGGCATAATGCAGGCCAGCAAAAACATCTTTCTTATGGTAGAACAGATAACAAGGCTGCATAAGGCCGTCGTTTGTACCCCAGGAAATGAAAGCTGAGTGGAATGCATTATAGGTGGAATTAACCCACCTGTTTATCTATTATTACAAATTATGACTCGTATAACAGCCATTATAGCTTCTACAGGCTGATATAAGGTGTTGGTGCACAGTGACTTTTGAGTTGAAATGTGGTTTTACCCTCCAGGCTTCCATGGACATCCCAGGTCTGAATTTGAGCCAACAGGAGTACTACCCATACGTTTACTACAAGATCGACTGCAATCTGCTGGATTTTAAAGTCTGAAAACTTGACCATTACCTTAATATGTCGTAAGGTTTTGATGTGACATGGTTACTTTTACAAGCTTTAACTTATTTGAGTTTTTGCCCTATCATTCCAGTTTGTTTATCTTTGTTTGCTCTCATTTTCAACAGTTTCATGTACATTTCTAAGTATGTGTTTCTCGTAAGAATATAAAATGGTCATCTCAACATTTGAATTTTTTTTTCTTGTTGTATGTCAGCAGTCTCACAAACTGTACTTTCAGAAGCACTTGTGACATTCCCCTTTTCCCTAAAAAAAAATGCATCTTGTTAGAGGAGAAATGAACATATAGGTACACGTGAGAGATATGAGAATGTGGTTAAAAACAATAATTATTTATGCCTCTGAATAAGCATCTGTGTTGTGTTTACTTTTTTTTTTTTACATGTGTTGTGTTTATTTGTCCCATATGGGTATTACCTATTTACATGTGCAATTAAATCACCCCATTCCATCTTTTAATGTGATTTGTGATAAATATGAAACTGATCAGTTTACAAATGGGCAATGTTTGCTTACTGTATTGTCCACTGATTTCCTTGAAGAACATAAATATGAATATATGTGCTAAAGCTGTACTGCTAATATGATTAAAATTAAACCATCTATTAAAAATTAATGTTGAAATTAATAAAACATAATATAAACCTATAATTCTCTGTGTTCTGTTCGCCATGTAAATCTGCTGTGATGTGAAACAAAAAGAATGGGATACGTAGCTGAAGAATTTATGCAATTATTGAGAGTCCCATTCAGTTTGTAGTTATAGGTTCCTGGGTTGGGGGATCATTGTGATACAAATTGTGGTTTATTTATTTTCACAATGTTGTGGCTTTTGTTTGAGATTAAAGTCAGAATTCTGTGAAAAAAGTCAGAATTCTGAGATTAAAGTCAGAATTCTCAGATTAAAGTAAGAATTCTGAGAAAAAAATCAGAATTCTGAGAAAAAGGTCAAAATTCTGAATTTTTTTCTCATATACTGAAATAAAATGTACATTTCTTTTTCAGTGGCCCTAATCCTCTTCCGTAGTTATGGTCTATTTTGTCTGTCCATAAGGTCATAAAATCAAAAGAATATAAATTATAAAAACAGGTACAATTAAGCTTAAGCTTCTTTTTATTACATTGTTTTAATATTTGGTGAACATTAACAAATAAATTAAATTCGGACTGGAGTTGTATTTATTTGCATGATGTTAAAGACGACGCTCGTCGTGGTGATGACGCGGCGGAGCATCTGGAGCTGAGCCAATCAGCGCCCTGAGTCTGCGCGGCGTGACCCCCCCCCCTCCTCTCCTGATGACGCACACATGACACAACACACACATCTGTGTGTGTTGGTGCTGGTCAGCTGCCTGTGGAGAGAGACATCAACCAGCAGCTGATGATGAGGAGGATGATGGAAACACAAACAGGAACTGAACCAATGTGAAGGATGCTGCCGCTTCTGTGACACAAACCAAGCAGCGTTTTTTTTTGTTTTTTTGTTTTTATTTTATCTTTATTTCTCATTTATCCTTGTCAGCGCCAGCTTCACCTGCCGTGGATGATTTTCTCGATGGGTTGTGGGGGGAGTCGGGCGGACGCGATCATCGAGCCGAGGTACCATGAGAGCTGGACCAGAGAAACGGAGTCAACCTGGCTCACTAACACGGACGTAGAAACCCCTGTTTCTGTGGCAAACAGTAAGTTTTACATGGATTCTAACATCTTCAGGCCAAGTGCCTCTTAAAAGCAGAGGCGTAGCCAGAACATTTGAATAAGGGTGGCCAGTCTGAGGGGCCAAACTGAGGGGTGGCCCAAAGCGGATAAGCGCCAGAACCTCAGCCTCCATCTACACTGTTCCGAAGGAGCACAACATCCTTATTTTCTAAATAAAGACAATCTATACTTTCCTGTAGCCTTTTGATTACAAATAGATGCATATATTTAAACATCCATGCTGTCTAAATAAAAGGTATAGTGGACAAAATGTCTGGGGCAAACATCTTTTCCATTGTCATTACTTATACGTTTTTCAAAAATTGTTCTGCATATCATTGATATTACATGTACTAATATCTACATTAAATAGATTTTTAAGTTATTTTTAAAGTAATTATTTATCTATGATTTCACTTTAAACTATCTGATGACTTGCAGAGACATGTAATTTTCCCTTTACCCCATATAGCACAAAATTAGGGTATTAAAAGAGCATGAATTCTGTATATATCGACTTTAATGTTAGTATTTTAATGTGCATAATTAACAGCATTTTATTTGCCAAGTAACTATTAATATATGAAAAATTAAAATGTTTAATAAGTTTAAACATTCCTCTTGATAGTATTACTGATTCCACCGTCCGTATTAGAGGGCGAAAAAAATGGGAGAGGTGGCCAATGATTGGCTAAGGGTGGCCATGGCCACCTCTGGCCCCCCATCTAGCTCCGCCCCTGCTTAAAAGCCCATCTAATTTGATTTAGACTCAAAATGTTAAAAACTATTCCCAGCAGACAAGTGGCTATGTGTTTATCATTTATTATTATTTTTTTTTTATATTATTCTGTTAAAGGTAAAGCTGTAGATTCCAGCCTGAAGGAGAAGAGAATGGTGACCACAGGAACCCAATGTGGGAAGCAGGCCATCACTACCAATGGCTCCAACCACCAGAGGAGACCAAGGCGCTCATTGACTGATGTACAGTGCTTTGAAAAAGTACTTAACTCCCTTAAATATTTCTTCAATGTGAGCTATTCTTTTCCTCTTAATGTTTTAGATCTGTAATAAAACTTTGACATCTGGCAAGCTGAGTTTGCTATATAGCAGCAATATACAGTTTTCAAATGACGATTTTATTTATGAGAAAATTAGTGAGGCTTTTCTTCTTCTAAGGGTTTGGATAGAAAAAATTATTGTTTCAAAAACTACGGTTCATTCAGGTCCCGAATAAACAAAGCAGTCCCAGACCATAACACTACCACCACCATAGATAACTGTACGTAAGATGTTATTTTTCTGAAATTGAACCAAATATAATGAGCAGCGCAGCTTTTAAAAGGTTCTCTCTCATTCGTCTGTCAATACACAGGATGTTTTTCCCAAATCCTTTGGAATTACCAAGACTTTGGGGGGAAAAATGTGAAATTTTTAGGATGGATTAATTCCATCTATACTATTTTTGACTATTCTGTATGAACCCCGACCTTAACTGAAGCCATTGTGGCCTACAATGCTTAAGATGGCGTTCTGGGTATTTTTATGTACTAATTGAATAGTCAATGGCCTGTAGGAGTAATTTTAGTAAGTCAGCCTTTTGTAGAAACTTCCCAGCTTCTCTATGTTTTTTGCGCTTGTAGATAATTGCTCTTATCGTGGTTCTCTTTAGTTCCAAAGTAATACAATGACTGTTGAGTCATTGTCCTGCATGAAGGTGAATCTTTTCTCAGGTTATAATACTGTTTTTTTACCCTTCATATATCTTCTGATCCGATTCAATTTCACTTTTCCTGCTGAAGTAGGTTTCCTCATAGCATGAATCTCCCACTACCATGTTTTGTAGTTGCAACAATGAACACATTGTAGTCTCTTCTGGCCAGACCATCAGTCCAGTTTTAATAGATAGTTTTGTTGGATGTACAGTTGCACCGTACTCTGACATGTTTTTATAAGATCTACAAAAGCTAGGATATTGCTGTATAACCCTACCTCTGCTATAAACTTCTCCACGACTTTGTCCTCAACTGGTCTTCTGCGTTCTTTGGTCTTAGTGATGCTCTTTGCTCACTTCTGTTCTCTTAAAACGCCCTTAGGTCTGCACAGAACAGCTTTAACACTAATTAGATGAGGGCAGTTTGTTGCTTTGAATTTGATACAAAAATTAGCTAACAACTTATACCTGTCACATGTGTTCAGAATTTTGCATGCATTTCAAAACCAGATATGCTTTTCCTCCCACTTTCCAATTATATACTTTTTGTAATAGTATATCATATGAACTTTGAACAGAATTACTAATTACCAGTTATTTTGCCTATGATGCTAAAAGAATTGATATAAACTTTAGGGTTCTTTCTCATATTTACCTATAGGTTTGCTGGTGGTGTAGATATAATACATATTCAAGCTTAATATATTCCAATTTAACTCATATTTCTGCAGCAAGATCAAGAGTTTACAGTGCTTTCTCAGGTTAAAGGAACTGACCTTAATGAATTACAGTTCAAGCATCTAGTATGTATTTAATTTGTTTGTATTAGGATTTACATTCATATTTTACTGTCTAATATCTACGGTGCTAATATGTGATAATCAAAGGGATATTTTAAAATCTTTTACACAGCAAATTACTCGTGACTCCAAAAGGAGAGCATCGAAGGAGGCCAGCGCCCTGTCCAAGGAAAGCCAGCCTGATGGAGATCCTGAGCCGGAGAGCGCCTGCGATGAAAGATGAAAGAAAAGCTACAACACTGTGAAGAGGCTAAATGGCTGGGCTGCAAAAAATAAAAAAAAAACTTGCAAAAGTGTCCAGATGATCTTTGCTTGTGGCTTTGCGCAGCTCTGGACCCTGAAGGTGGCGACTCCCCTAACAGGGCGCCTGCTTATGTTTCCACCCAAAGACCTCAAAATGCTGCATTATTGTTGCATGTGTGAGGAAGAGAGTGGGAACCAAACGCCATGTTTTTCCTCCATACTCGTTAGTACCAGTCAGGGAATGTGTCACTGTGTTAAGAGAGATTTAAGTTAAAAAAAATATATATATCTTTACACAATTGAGAGATTGCCCCATATGCACACGATAATCTCAATCTGCACATCAAATGTGCATGTGTCGGGGCTTCCTGAAGAATTTGCTTTAGTTCTTTGTGCAAATATACTCATTTTTTGTTGTTAGAGTGTGTTGTTTGAGATCAGTCAGTAAAGTGAGTGATTTTTATAAAAAAAAAAAACTATAACCCTAAAGTGCTGTTTAGAAGCTGATATTGAAATGTCTGAAGCTTGGAGGCTAAAGACTGTCTTTTCCAGCCTTTGCAAGAAAAGAAAAAAATCACACACCTGCATGTGCCTACAATTCCTCTTGATTTTATTAGAACTGTTGAATTTCTTGTATTTATTCTGCAAGATGTGTTTTTCTTTTTTGTCTCTATTTTGTGTTCAGTGGTAAATGTTATGATTTATGACAATGCAGTCTTACTGCAGTGTTGGGGTTCATTTTGATCTGCATGTATAAATCTGTCTCGTACTGGCAAGCCATGTAAATTAAAAGTATTTTAGATAACCAGAACTCATGAAATAAACTCAGGAGGTCTACGATGATGCGGTAAATGGGTATCCAAACTGATGATCAGCAGATGGCGATGTTGAATGGCTATTGCTTCAGGAGGCTTAAGAACCAAATGGAGGCTGGTCTGTTCAGCTCTGTTTGAATGTAAAAAAAGGACAATCTGTTGTTCATGAGTTTAGCCAGACTTGAAAATGATACCTTGTTCTACTTAAGAGTTTTAGTTTTTGACTCAGTCACACTTGTCTGTCAAAACAAAGTCATTAATTTAATACACAGCACAGTGTTCTGCATTCTTGTTTTCATTAAATTGGTGCTGGCTGTTAAAGTTGTGTCACTTTTTCAGAAGTCACAAAGCTAAACACATAGTTTTCAGAATTTTTTTTTTTTTAGCATAATTTAAATGAATACGATTTAGAAGAAATAAATTTGCTTTTCAACATAACTGGGCAGTATTTCTGACATCTACATCACCTACCTGTTTTCTTTTTCCGTTGCAATTTACAACACATATTGGTCTGTTGGTTAATACACAGAAGATGATTTAAGTTCAAGCCTTAAATACGTTTGTATTTATACAAAACACACACTCACACACATATATATATATACAAATATATATATATATATATATATATATCTATATCTATATCTATATATATAGATATAGATATATATATATCTATATCTATATATATATATCTATATATCTATATATATATCTATATCTGTATATATATATATATATATCTATATATCTATATATATATCTATATATATATATATACATATTTAAAGCTGGATTGTATTTATATCCGAAAGAGGATTAGGGCTACTGAAAAACTAAACAAAGTTAACTGATTTTTAAATATTATTTCAGATAAATATGGGAAAAAAGTTAGAATTCTGACTTTTTTCTCAGAATTCTGACAGCTAACAAACATGTTACCATCAAGCTGTTGCCATGTCTGTTTTATAGAATAGCTCTCTTGTTTTAATGAACTTCTGCTCTTCCATTAATGAAATAGCATCACCGGGCACCCCTCAGGCATGTAATGAGTTGCCTAATTTTGTCATTTTCCACTAATGTGTTACTGGCTCTCCCAAACAACTCACATCTTTGTCAGTAAAAGCTGAGTGCTCCCACATGTCTTCCTTCATGGTGCCCGGCGTCTACATTAAGATCCAAATTTCTTAGATTAAAGTCATAATTCTGAAAAAAGTCAGAATTCTTACAAAATTCTGAAATAAAATTTGAAAATCAGTAAAATCATTTTTGTTTTTTCAGTGGCCATGAAAAAAAAATATATATTTATATACATATTTATATAATAAATATATTTATAATATATAATATATATTCATGAATGTGAATGGGGCGGGCGCTAAGACCATGTGAAAGAATTCTCCAGCAGGGCAGCTGCCGCTCTGAGCCGTTGCTCTGCCTGTTCTACTGTCACTCCTCACATCTCTGAGTCACTGCTCAGATCCTACCATGTTACCATGAATCTCTGAAACCTTTACCGACATTTTCGGGATTTTCCTCTGCCTATCGGGACGTCAACGATGATCTAATAATGGCAAAGCGATCCGGGGCTAAAGAGGGGACGCTGTCTTCTTCTTCTTCGCCGACCATTCTTCGGAATTTGAACCGCGGAGACTTGAGCATGGACTGCGGAGACGGATCCGAGGACCTGTCCCTAGAAGAAATCCTTACTCTTTACAGCCAGCCGATAAACGAGGAGCAGGCATGGGCTGTCTGCTACCAGTGCTGTCGGACTTTAGCGCACAAACACAGACGAAAAAGCTCATCCAAGGTAGCGGGGTCCTCTGCGGTGGACTACCCGAGGAGGATCGAGGGACCTGGGAATGTGAGGATCGGGAGAGACGGAGCTGTCAGGCTGCACTTTGAAGACAGCACAGGTAACTAAAGCAAAACAGACAGTTTATCGGGAATAAACTACACGCTAACCTCCACATCCACCTCAGTGTGCCCAATGAACGCAGCATCCCTACAAAGAGGCCATATTGTTGTGGTTATTTGCTTCCAGACATGTGGTCAATATAGATCACACATCAATGCATATTAAAGTTAAGATCCCGATTAATAGTTTTTTTGTGACATTTTATCAGTAATATTCTCACAACAACGTGTGATGTTTACGCAATCATATGAGTTGAGCCAAATGCAGGCTGCTGGAGAATGAATGGCTGCTTGGATCCCAGAGTGGTCAGTTAGCTTCAGTAAATACTAAACCACGTGACGGATTCAAATACAGGTGCTGGTCATAAAATTAGAATATCATGAAAAAGTAGATTGATTTCAGTAATTCTATTTAAAAAGTGAAACTTGTATATTATATTCATACATTACATACAAACTCATATATTTCAGATGTTTATTTGGTTTAATTTTGATGATTACAAATGACAACAAATGAAAATCTCAAATTCATCATATCAGAAAATTAGAATATTACTGAAGACCAATAAAAACAAAGGATTTATAGAAATGTTGGCCAACTGAAAAGTATGAACATGAAAAGTATGAGCATGTACAGCACTCAGTATTTAGTTGGGCCTCCTTTGGCCTGTATTACTGCAGCAATGCGGCGTGGCATGGAGTCGATCAGTCTGTGGCACTGCTCAGGTGTTATGATAGCCCAGGTTGCTCTAATAGTGGCTTTTAGCTCTTCTGAATTGTTGGGTCTGGTGTATTACATCTTCTTCTTCACAATACCCCATAGATTTTCTATGGGGTTAAGGTCAGGAGAGTTTGCTGGCCAATTAAGAACAGGGATACCATGGTCCTTCAACCAGGTACTGGTAGCTTTGGCACTGTGTGCAGGTGCCAAGTCCTGTTGGAAAATGAAATCTGCATCTCCAAAAAGTTGGTCAGCTGCAGGAAGCATGAAGTGCTCTAAAACTTCCTGGTATGTGGCTGCGTTGACCCTGGACCTCAGAAAACACAATGGACCAACACCAGCAGATGACATGGCACCCCAAACCATCACTGACTGTGGAAACTTTACACTGGACTTCAAGCAACGTGGATGAAGTGCCTCTCTTCTTTTCCTCCAGACTCTGGGACCTTGATTTCCAAAGGAAATGCAAAATTTACTTTCATCAGAGAACATGACTTTGGACCATTCACCAGCAGTCCAGTCCTGTTTCTCTTTAGACGCTTCTGACGCTGTCTGTGGTTCAAGAGTGGCTTGACACAAGGAATGCGACAGCAGAAACCCATGTCTTTCATACGTCTGTGTGTGGTGGTTCTTGAAGCACTCACTCCAGCTGCAGTCCACTCTTTGTGAATCTCCCCCACATTTTTGAATGGGTTTTGTTTCACAATCCTCTCCAGGGTGCGGTTATCTCTCTTGCTTGTACACTTTTTTCGACCACATCTTTTCCTTCCCTTCGCCTCTCTATTAATGTGCTTGGACACTGAGCTCTGGGAACAGCCAGCCTCTTTAGCGATGACCTTTTGTGTCTTGCCCTCCTTGTGCAAGGTGTCGATGGTCGTCTTTTGGACAACTGTCAAGTCAGCAGTCTTCCCCATGATTGTGTAGCCTATAGAACTAGACTGAAAGACCATTTAAAGGCTTTTGCAGGTGGTTTGAGTTAATTAGCTGATTAGAGTGTGGCACCAGGGGCCATCAATTTTGAACCTTTTCACAATATTCTAATTTTCTGATATGATGAATTTGAGATTTTCATTTGTTGTCATTTGTAATCATCAAAATTAAACAAAATAAACATCTGAAATATATGAGTTTGAATGTAATGTATGAATATAATATACAAGTTTCACTTTTTAAATGGAATTACTGAAATCAATCTACTTTTTCATGATATTCTAATTTTATGACCAGCACCTGTATGTCAGAGCAGCTGGTTTTTGACAATTTTTCTACTGCAACTAGGGAGAAACTGGCAAGTAGCCAGGGACAGATTAGTCACAAAGCTGCCAACAGGATTTTTAGTGATGTTGAAAAAGTAAATGTACAGGTTTTAATCTGGAGAATGAGTCAGGTGGCGTGAAAGAACTTTTATTTAAAGAGTAAAAAGGCTTTATTAAGTAATTGGGCTCTTTATAGGAAGCTAAAGCTTGTTGATTGGAAAACATTTGATGTCATCATGAAACAAAGTCCTTGATGAAATTCAATTTCCATTTGAATCTGGTACATAATCATTCAATAAACCATTTAGTTTCTGTTTAGTGAACTCTGCAGGAATTAGCCTAATGATATAAAAAGGAGGCGATTCCAAAGGAAAAAACAAAGCAAAGAAATAAAAATATAATCTTTTTGCTGCTTGTAACACCAGAATTTCCCCATTGTGGGACAAAGGGATATTCTATTCTATTCTATTCTATTCTATTCTATTCTATTCTATTCTATTCTATTCTATTCTATTCTATTCTATTCTATTCCAATCCATTCTAAAAGGTAAACCTGTCAGAAATCTGTAGTTTGCAGAGATTTTAATAAAAAGTTGATGAGCAGACACCAGTATACCTTAAAATTAACTACACTTTCCAAAATCATGATAGAATAGTGGTACAGATATTAAAAAGACCATGAGCTGCCATAAAATAAGCACAAGAGTGGTACATACTAAAATAAGGAGGAAATATAATATAAATAACCATTATTACCTAAAAGTTAA